GGGCCGGGACTGGCGGAGGCCGCCGGGCCGGGAACGGCTTCAGCTGGGCTCGCGGCACTCGTGGAGGGGGGGTCCCTCCGTCCTGTTGAGCCCGAGTGGGGCGGGAGGTGCCGGTAGAGCCCCGCAGGCGGCCGTGAGGGGCTGCCGCGGGGTGGGCGGCCTGTCGTCCGCCGGTGGGACGCTTCTGGTGGCCACGGGCTCTCCCCGTCTGGGACCCGGCCGGGTTTTGGGAAGAAGAGCTTGTGAATGTGTCGTTGCAGTCGTACAGCGCCTGTTCGGGTGGGGTGACGGGTTTAGAAAAACTATTTATTTATTTATTTATTTGTTTCTTACACCGTCCCTCTGTGCCGAGCCCTGAAATAGATTGGAAAAGCTCTCGGGCTGGCGTGGACCGCTGAAATCTCAAGTTGGCGATGAAGGACAGGACGCTTGGACCCGATGTGGTGGTTCGGGGAGAGGGAAGGGTGATTGATGCCCTCTCCCTCTCTGTGAAGGTTAGGTACTCGGTAGGGACTGACAGCTAGGCGCTGCAGCCTGAAGGGAGTCATGAAAAAGAGAAAAACGTGCCCAAGATACGGGGGTCAGAGGACTTTGGGATGCGGGTTAAGTGATTTTTACTCAGGAATTTGGCTAATGGCTTGTAATAGGGCTGTGGGGGTTTGGTGGTACTATAAGTACTGATTGGTTTGTTAACTATTAGCTAACCCAAAGAATGCTACAGATTATATAAAAACCTTAACTTCTAGTGCGCAAGGACATCAACACTGTTTCCTACTTGGAGTACAGGCAAATCAGTTGCACAAGGGCAAATTCCTCACTCCCAAACTGCTAGCTGTGATGTTGTAATGATTTGTCAAATAAAAACACGTTGTCAGTGTTTCTAAGTGCTGTTGTGATAATTGCATTTATTCACTTATTGCATTTTTTTTTCTATGTTAAAAATAAAGAACGGGTCAGCCAACACTATAAAGACCACAGGGCTCCTAGACCTAGCTGTACCCAAGAAAGGCTGCTGATGGATGTAGTGAACATTGTGAATCCACAGCCAGCAGTGATGATGATCATTGTTGGTTTTTAACAAGAGAAGTCCTGTTCTGGTGAAGTTTCCCCCCTTCTTTTTTTTTTTTTTTTTAATGGTGGGGCTCAAATCTTGAGTGGTTGGTCAGCACGTGGATTTTCCCAAAGGCCTCTCAAAAGAGGAGGCTTTTCATCCCTGGGGAGAGCAGGGTAATTCTCCACTGCTCTTGCTTCTACAGCGCAGCTTTCAACAAGGAGTGTGGGATAGTGCCGGCTCTGGTTGTGACATTTCATGTGATTCAGGCAAATGTCAGCTAGGAGCTGGCTTGAGATGACCTATTTATTTCGTGTAGGTTTCACGGCGGGTGTTGCTGGCAGTGATGCACAGAACGGACTGACCTATCCTGGAGTGGATGAAGTAGAGGCTAAAACTGTCCCTATTTCTTGCCAGTTCTCTGAAGTAGGGAGCCTTCCTTGAGCAGTGGAAGGAAGTGGAGCGGATAGTGCTGCTCTTGCTAGAGGCAAGGGCTGGAAGCAAAGTGACTTTGGCATGTCCTTGTAGAGGCTTTCTGTGTTTTGCTTTTCCAGAGAATCGGAGGTGCCCCAGTCAACTATCCCTTCCCTTTCTTTTAGGGAAGTTAGTTAAGGGCTGATAAATTCTCCTGGTATTTAATTATGTTTCTCTTGCCTGAGCAGTGAAGCTGGGATGTAAAGGCTGCCCAGTATGCCTCTGTATTCCTGGGATGCTTTGGTTGAGGGGGGAAATAGCCACACCTCCAGAGAGCCCTCCTTGCAGAAAAATGCCTGAGGCACTCCCAGAGCAGCACAGCCTGTTAGTCTTAGCATCTACCCTTCTTCTATCACTCTGGATTTTTAAACTGAGTTTTTAATCTTCATTCGTTCAGATAAGAAGTGCTGTTCTCATCTCTCAATTCAGGAGTTCATTGGCAAGAAAACTGGAAGCAGATAATCCCTGGGAACTACTATGCAGTCTGGGTTCTGGTAATACCAGGTAACTGTAGTCGCCACATGCTCAGCCTGAGCAGTAAAAGAGATGGGTAAAAATTGGGGGCTGGGAAAAAATAGCACTGAGATAAGCCTGAAAGCAAGGCAGATTTTTTTAATTTTTTTTTTTTTTTAGATTGAAGATAGTGTGCAGAGGAAGAAGAGGATTATGTTTGAAATTGTTATGTGTCCCGTGGCTGTGGTGTTTGAGCTTGAAGGGAATCATTTTTATCACCCAAAAAGCAATTTCTATAGCTAATCAGCTCTGCTTAGACCCCTTCACAAGATAACCTTTGCCAGAAAATAGTCCATTCGGCAGCTTGTTTCGTGGGTTATTGATTCCCCAGGTGTCATTCTTTTGACCCAGCCTTTTGTCAGCTCCTGTCATTCAGGCCACCATGCAGGGATGTTCCTTGTAGCAAATGGGAACAGGCTTAAAGACACTTCCTTATAGTGAGTGAGTTCCTCTCCTGTCATCTTGCAGAAAAGCAAGCGTTCCCTTTCCTTCTGAATGTATAAAACAGGCAGGAACTGGTTTGGTTGCCAGTTTGATTTGGTTTGTTGCCTTCGTTACATACCTCAGGTTCTGTTGTAACACAGTGTGTGTGGGGTATGGGTACTGTAAAACTCCAAAACTTTGGAGCACGGGGTACTGAATCTGGAGGTGAAAAATAGGACACTGCTAGTGGGGGGTTGTGGCAGCAAGATGTGGCAATGGTTAGATTTGCAGCTAAGATCATTCTGCAAGAGACTGAAGCTGATTTTGCATCAGAAAATTAGAAGGTAAAATTAAATGGGGTTTTTTGTTGTTTTTTTTCCTGGTGGGTTTTTTTTTTTGCTTTTTTTTTTTTTTAGGAAAGTGCTATGTTTTTGCAAGTATGTATTTGTTGCTGTGGTCTGATAGTAAGATTGAGCAGTTTGTTATTTTTTTGAACCAAATGTTCTGGAGGAAGCTCTACAGCAGCATTTCAGCTAGCCTACTTCAGTATTTAAGAGAACTTCACTGCAGTGGAATGGCCCTCTGAGAGACTTTTGGCATAGCCAGTGGCTTCTGTGTACCTTAGGCATCAAAACCAAAATGCTTCCATTTAGGAAATCAAATGAAGAGCTGTGTCTGGGTGCTCCGACTGAGATTCTCAGTGTTGCTTTTGATGTCTCTATTGTAGGTGCAGCTAAGCTATTTGCTTAGGCTTCTTTTATTATAAATAATGAGGGGAAGAGAAAGCAGGCAATTAGCACATTGCTTTTGGTTAGTTTGAGATGGCTGCCTTAGAATCAGATCAATTGTTCATTAGAGTGCCTTATTGTCTCCATTAATGATGAAAGCCCAAGGTGACAGTTGCAGAGTGGATTGTCTGATTAACTTTAGATACCAACATCTGCCCAGCAAAATGAGCTTTGTGTAGCCGGCTGAAGGAGGTCAGTTTCAGCCCGTGCTTAGAGGACAGGACTTTCTCAGCAAGGTGAAGCAGCCTGCAGCTCTGTGCCTCATGGCAGTGAGGGCTGCTGCCTGTGCCATGCAGAGCAGAGCTCTGTGTTGAGGGGAGAGGTTGTCTTGAAGACAGTACTGGCTTAGAGACCATCTTAGCTTGTGGAGCTGAGAGGGTTGAAGCGCACTTCTAAATTATTTTGAGTCTCTACCTCTCAGATTCTTTTTAAAAAATAGTTTAATGTAATAGCATTCTGTCTTCTGGAGAGTTGATATGATTTGATTTTATGTGATCCATCTTTAAGTGTCAGGTATTTTGCAATTTGCCATGGAGTTGCTACATGCTATTGTAAAACTGGGCTCTTTCTCTTTTGCCTAAGTGGAGTAGGGCAGTGTAGTATGTGGCAAACCAACAAATCCAAGTGGCTCTGAGTATTTTTTAGGGAAAGGGAAGGTCTCAATTTGAGAATGGTCACCAATTCTGTTGATGTACTGCTTCAGGCCCACCAGGCTTATTTGATCCAAGAGACAGTGCTGCTGGTGGGAAACCAAATCCTCCAGTTTGCAGGCATTTAGTTATCTGTCAGTAATGTCTTTGGTACCTGCAATACCTACTTTTTCTTTCAAAGAAATGTGTCTGAGCCAAAGGTGTTTACAGGCCCTGGCTTCATGACAGACTGCCTTAAATACTGGGTTCACAGTTTCACAAGTAGATTTTTGATAGGCCAGTGTTTTTTCCTTTGGTTGCTCAGAGTGCTCGGGAGCTGATTGTGTACAGATAGCCTTCTATTCCAGAAACAGGATAGGACAAACACATTAGTAGCAACGAGTATTTGTTGGTTTCTGACACAGCCCATGGTCCGGGGAGACATGTTCCTACCAGGCAACCACTCAACAGAAACTGTGTCACGTAAGGCAGTGTTGCAAAGCAGCCTCTTAATTGTGTTCCCTCTGCCATTTAGGGAATTAACTGGAGGGGAAAAAAAAAAAGAAAAAAAGTCTTGGTGTTTTGGGTGTAAGCTTCATAGCAGAGTCTCTCTTGCTGTTTCCAAAAGTGAGTATCTTCATACCTTAATATGTGTTCTGGTACAATGTAGTCAGTAGGTTGAGTGAAACATGTATTTCAGACTGAAAGGATCTTGGGTACCTTTCATGCAGATCCCAAGGTATGTTGGGCTGAATCAAATGGCTACCAGCAGCACACAGATTCAGGTAACAAAAAGGCACCTAGTGCTGAAGGTGACATCGTGATGCAACACGATATTCTTGTGGTACCTGGATGTGGTACCTGCCAGTAATTCCACACCATTTGGATATGGAGAACCGAATGGCATTGTATCACAGGGTAGTTAGTGGCTGCCTACCAGTGCAGCAGAAAATGCTTTTCCTTTTCCCGCAGCTGCTGCTGGGGCAGAATGAGGTGAGTCTGGTTCAGTGATGAAATCCTCTCCTGCCGTTTCCCAGCAGAATGTTGCCCCACAAGGTCAGGATGTGCTGTCTGTGAAAGGCAGCATGAGCCCCCGAGTCCTGCCGAGTGTCAGGTCAGGTCCTCAGTGCTCTGCCCTTTCTGGGTGTGATGTGGGAGGCTGACTTCTTTTGAAAAGATCTTGGCTCTTCAGGCAGTCCCACATCATGAGCAGCTTTTGGAAGTATCAGCATGTAGCTGGAGACGCCTTGTAGGATTTAATTTTCTACACAGACTTTTTTTGTTGTTGTTCTGAGGTAATGTTATACTGTAAGGACAGGCTGAAAGTATGAGGCTGATGAGGTTGAGTAAGTATCTGTCTATCTAAAACTGGAGTAGAAATGGCTTTTACAGCTGTGGCTAGGTTAACTTTGTGATGTAGATGTGGCCATGATGTGTTCTTGCTGCTCTGAGGGGGAGGGAGAATGATAGTTTTTAAAACTTCTTGCTTTTCCTCCATCCCTTGCCCATCTCTGTGCCTGGGGGGCTCCAGCTGCCCAGTTTAATTCGCTCACTGAAAGTGGGCAGGGTGGGACAGCTGGAATGGAGGGCTCTCTTGCTCCAGAAATGGTACTGGGAAGTAAGATCTTAACTGATGCCAGGTCCTGCAAAGATGGAGAAACCCCACTCTTACAGCTTTCTCTAAAATAGTAGCTACTAGAGGTCTGGAGGCCCAAAAGTGGTAACGTCTGCGACAGAGTTTGAGGATGGTACTATAAGAGAAGTCTAGTAACATGAGCACCCTGGTGGAGTATAGTCTGCTACGGGGCCTAATTATGGTCTTATTAATGCTTTCTTTCATCACTGCCTTCCAGCCTTCAGATGGTGATTAGACCTATTTATAGGGGCAGAGTTCCTTAATATTCAGCACAGTGCACCTCTTGCCAATCAAATCAGTACCATCTGCATCTTTGATTGCTGCTTAATAACACTGTAGAACATGGTTAATTAAAAAATATAAATAGACTTTTCATCCTCTTAACTTACCAAAGTGCTTCCCTCCTCCTCCCTTCCCTCCTTTGCCCCCTCCCCTCCTGCCACAAGGTAAAGTTGGCTTAGCAGGGGGACTGTGGTGAACCTCTCATCCCACTGCTGGAAATGCACCCTGCTTTCCTGCCCAGGGTAGTTACCCGTTGTGTGCTCTGCTGGAGGACTAAGTTTCAACCCCTCCAGTGAACGTCAACACAGGGTAGAACCATTGTTTGCTGCACGATAAAATAGGACTCGCATCTAGGCTCTTGTGCTGCGTTCACCACCAGTGTGTGAGCAACTCCTAGTTTTTATTTCAGTTGCTTTTCTACATCTGTGTGAGTGCATGCTCACCCACTGCCTTATCCCGTCCCCTAACGGGAAGAGCATATGCAATGACATGTTCTGCTTTTCTAGCATTTCCAGTCTCTTTTTAAAATGCAGTTCCCTGGCCTTGCACCTGGTAACTCACAGGAATGTGCTTTATCTGTGGAGGGCAAGGTGATACAATTATCTTTTCACTTTTAAAATTTTTTTTCCTTGGAGGAGTTCATTCTGGTATTTTGTTGGAGTGGCCCCTAGGCAAGCTTCTAGTACAACCAAGGTATGACTTGAATATGCCAGCAGATTCGATCATCATTTGAAATTCTGTGGGAAGCCTGTGCAGAAAGTAGAGAATAAGGATGATGTAGTAGTATATTAAGTACAGTACTACTGAGTACTGTAGTTAAGTGTACAGTAGTAGAAGTTTGTGATGAGACACACAACAGACATTGTAGCAGCTGGGAGCTATGTGAGCTCTAAAAGCTGCATTTGGGCATTACGAGCAATGTATTCGAGTTGCCTGTGATGACAAAGCAGTATGACCAGCTGTGGGTTTCAGATACCTGAAAACCCTGGAATGCTCAGCCTGTATCTATCATCCTGTAAGTCTTTTGGAAAGACCATGAGATTTTGAATACCTGAAAACCCTGGAATGCTCAGCCTGTATCTCTCATCCTGTAAGTCTTTTGGAAATACTGAGACAGTCTGGTAGAGGCTGATGTTGCATTTCCCAGCGCTGTTGTTTTGCTCAGCTTTTGCTCGCATGATGTTGGAACTGAGAGGGAGAGAACAGCTTTGGGTGCAGGGGGATAGCCACCAGCCCCGACGAGCTTTGTACCAGCTTGCTTGAGTTAAAGGCATAGACAGCTTAAGGCAAAAGTGCAAATCTGAGCAGTTGCTAGCTCTAGTCAGAACTTCCAAATCAGGATATAGCACTTATAAGCAGGTGGTGCAGTGAGAAAACAACCTTCTTCTCTTTGTTTGCAATTTAATAAGGCAAATGAGGTTATTATATAACAGTAGAGCACATTTGTCTTGATCATTAAAGTTGACACAGAAAAAAATACTGAATAAAGACTGGCTGGAGCCTCCAGATGCTGCAACTATTTTTCCAGAGCCTCTTTGATCACAAAAAGAGCGGTATAGCTGTTTCTTCTGCCTTTTGTGACCCACAGGTGGTTACATCCCTAATGATTACATCTCTTGGGTGATGTGACATCTGCTCTTCTGAATTGTGTTTGCTTTGGGTTTTATGTGCCCGTTTCTCGGTGTAGCATCTGAGTATTTCATGTGGCCATCATAACTCCAGGATGCCGTGCTTTCTGCTGAAACATGCCAGCTCCCTCTGAGATTCTGGAGTGATACTGGAACCAGTTTGTTGCTTTGTGGAAGTCACTTCCATGTGTAAGATATACACCAAAGATACAAATAAACTATGTTTCTGTTATGTGAAGGCTTGGTATCCATTGGGCAGGGTGGGAGAGCTGAGATATTTCTAAACTTCAGTACTTTATGTGTTGTCTAATTCTGATAATGGAGCACAGCAAGGAAATGTGCTGCTTCCTTCTCAGTGCACTGGAGGTTGATATTAAGGAAGAGTCAGTCTTGCTGAGTGATATCCAGCGTTTGCTTTCCTTCCTGCCTTTTGTTAGGAATATTTTGAATTTTCCCACTTAAGATCTTCCATGTTCCTGCAGTTACTGTCTGTTATGGGAAGCAATTCTGCTTTTATTCCAAGCATATGGTCAGGCCTTTAATCAAAGTGTAAAACTTGCTTGTTTCTCCAGCTAGTTTGGTCCCAAGAGGTAATAAATAGCAGCTGTAGCATGGGATTTTGCCTGAGTCTAGTAGTTTAAAAGGCTGTTGCTGATTTTCCTCTTTCTTGCTATAAATCTCTAATTTGTTACCTTGTGCAGTAAGAATTGTTTCTTTTATCTGTCTCCGATAGCAGTTCCCACAGAGTCTACCACGTTTCTCTAATGTGGTGGGTTGGTATTTTTTTTTTAGGAAAGGTGGGAATCTGGAGCTCGTGTGAGAGGCTGCGTTGAGAACCTGTGAAACTGAAGTTCACTGACAGCCGAACTGCGACAGTGTGAGCAGGAGCACCCCGGGATTTTCCTGCTTTGTCCCCACACCTACCTGCTCCCCTCTTTGCAAGGGGAGCAGTGGGTCCCAAAGAACCCACTCGCAGCTTCTGAGTGCGAGGAAAGAAAGAGTTTGGTGGTAGCTAAGGGTTTGCTGCTGCTGAGTGTGAGCATCTGTCAGTCGGCAGCTGAACTGAGCCTGGCTTTTAGAAAGGTCACTAAGAGAATTAGTGACTGGTGAGAGTCTGGGAAATCATCCCGGGGCTCTATAATCTCATCTGGCCTCAAGAGGTGAAAAGCTTGGCCTTCTCACCCTGGGGGGCAGGATTACTGCTACACTGATAGTGAAGCAAGTTTAAGAAGTCTCCCTTTTTTGCCCCTGCTTCCCACTCTGTTTCATGACCAGCCAATTACAGCTGTTTATCGAGCTGCGGTAAATTGGGTCATTGAACCGACCCGAGTTAAAAATAGGCATCCCAAACATCAGCAGCATTGATGCAATGGAAGAGTTGTGACCAGTAGCGGGGAAGATCATAAATGTTTTGCTGCCGGAGCCAAAGCATCTCATAACTGCACACTTGCTGTGTTATTTGGTCGCTTTGTTCCGCATTGTCAGTCAAATAGTAGATTTGAAAGCGAAAGGGTGCCAGCTTGCTCGTGGTCAGCAGATCAAAAAATACCATCTCAAAATTAGCTGTACTCCTCTCAGATTAGTTTGTACGCTTTACAACTCTAAATAATAACATCCTGCCTGCTGAATGGGCCCAGTCAAGAAGACTAATCAGTGTGCAAACATTGCTGCTAAAGAGTGTGGATACGGAGTCTGGCTGCCAGTGAGACATGAAGTGAAACAGAATAGGTCTAGGCTTTCTGCAGCAGAGCCAGGTCTTCCAATGGTTGGGCTTGATTTTGCAAATTTATTGTCTGCGGAAAGGCTCCTAGGTTTCCTCCTTCATTTACCTCTCATATGATTGATTATTAAACACATACCCCCCAAAAAAAACCAACCCAAACCAACCTCATGCCCCTTCCAAAAAAAAAAAACAAAACCCAAAACAACAGCCACATCATATTTACGGAAAATCTTTCCTGACCTGCTGTGGTAGGATCGGCAAGGACAAATTTGGAGAGGGTGGATGATGTTTTGTAAATGTACAGGAATGGCTGCAGGCATGTCTAATCTGATACCTTCTGATTTTGTGAAGGAAGATAAGGAATTGAAAGAAGGTGTGGAGACTCCTCTAATTTTCACCTGTTAAACAGTTGGTTTATGCTCTAACTATCTCTTCAGGCTCTTGTTTTGTGAATTTCTCCAGTGTAGGCTGTGTTTCTATGTTATTCTCAGCCTGCTCTCCCGTACAGGCTGGAATACAGTTTACACACAGCGGTGCTCCCTGGACTAGCTCCTGCAGTATCATGGGGGGAATGTCTTTGTGTCCTGAGATACCTCTCTCTGTTTCTGATAACTTTTTGATCCTCTTTTGTTTTGCTTCTCTTCAGCTTAATGAATATTTTCTTATACAAATGTACAGCACTGATGAAGCCCTGTAATGAGCAACTGTAGACAGTTTTGATTTGGTTTGGTTTGTGTTTTTTTTTACAGTCTGAAAGAGCAAGACACACAGAGAAAACTAGTTTGAAGGGCGTTCTGTAGGCTTAGTGGCAGAGTTTGGGCTAGAAAAAGAACACTAGAAATGGACACTCTATTCAGCCTGTCCTAACAGTAATATATTTGTGAATTTACAATTTTTAATGAGCTCAAAGAAATGCATTTCTTCTCTATACCCTCCTCTGTGTCCCGGGAAATTTTTTGTTACTTTTGTGAGCAAAACCACGGGAGGCAGACACTTTGGGAATTGCTGAGGGAGAGGTGAGCAAGCCTGGCAGGATGGAGACGGGGATGATGCATAGTCTTCTCCTGGCTGAACTATAGAGCAGTGGTATTGGCCTGGTTGCACCCAGGAGCATGCATACTGCTCTGCTGCATGTGTTGAACAGCACTGAAGGATTTCAGTGACCGTTTGGGTTTTGTACGTGAAAGGATCCTAAAATAAGGAGGCTTCTTTCAAGATTACTAAGTTTGAAGATTAAGATTTCAAGTTACTAAGGAAAAATCCAGCTCCCAGAAGCAACGAGCAGCTCCTGGGAGTCTCCGAATGGAAGAACTCTCATTAACCTACTTGGAGCAAAGGCGTGTGTACACATGTATGCCCTGTAATTTCGTAGCTGATGTTCTTGGAAGGGAGCAGTGGTTGTGCTTCTTGGAGCAGAAGTATAAGATGAAATACTTCATTTTGCTGATAGGGTTGAATGACCTGAAATATATCCATCTGGAATATGAGGATGGGAGGAGGGGACAGAGTGATTTCTGACGAGTCTTATCACCACCCTCAACTGACTTTGCTCCAAAGTGTGGTCTTTGTTTTCAGCAAGTTTTGTTCAGTATCACACTAAAAATAAAATTACAGTTTCCAAAAGCATTCAGATAAGCAAGAGACTCCCACTTCACTCTTTGTGCTATTTGTGCCTTTCTTCTCAGCTCACTGGATTCTGTTGCAAACGCTTCCCTAAAATAATTAGGGGAGCAAAGAGTGGAAGTCCCTGAATAAAAGCTGTGGTAAAACGGAAATGTGCTTACTGTAATGACCCATTTGTTCTTTCCTTTAGGCACGATGGCTGCAGTAGCCCAGAAGCACTTTTTGGAAGGGCAGACGTATTCAGTCCCCCTGATCCAACCGGACCTGCGCAGGGAGGAGGCTGTTCAGCAGGTGGCAGATGCCCTTCAGTATCTACAGAAGGTGTCGGGTGATATCTTCAACAGGTACGGTGCTGTCAGATGGGAGCTGGGGACTTAGCAAGCAGCAATAGGGAACAGAATGCTGTGATCAGGTTGCAGCAGTGGAAGGGCATTGCATTGGCAAGCAATGGAAGCTCAGAAAAGGCATAAAGAGGACCAGATGCACTTCAATAGAAGTTTATTGGATTCGGGTCTGTCAAAGTTAAGCATAATGAAATGGCTGCAGCTCGCCAGAGGTTGGTTGTTATTAATTTTTTATTCAGTGGCAGCCTCCCACAAATTGCATTACTGCTTCTGCTGCTGCAGTTATCCTTTATTCCTCCTTGCTCATGTTTTAAATGGGAGACTTTCTTACTTAGAGTATCTTGAAGATATATCTTTGAGCCATTATACTTGGAGCAGGAAATGTCTCTTTGTTCTGATCAAACTTACAAACTGTTTTCTTTGGGCTTCTGGTGTTTTGCACTTCTCTTTTTGTATGGTGGGAGGGCTGAGTGCATGAGAGGGTCTTTTAATCAGTCTCATAATCCATCTAAACTGATTTTTTCAAGGATTCAACCCAGACTTACCACCTCTTGCATATGGTCATCTTTAGGATTGGATCTATAAGACTTACCTATATATCAGATCAGAGAGGTTCTTCTGTTTCCCTGCAAATGATGGTAGATGGCATGATACCTTTTTTCAACCAATGCCATGTTTGATACCTCAGTACCCTGAGATGGCATATCGTATCAATAGTATAGAAGCAGGTGAACATTTATCATCTTGTAGCTTGATGAGTAGCAAAAGCACTTGCTTTGGTTTCAGAGATGATGATTACATAGCATGATTTTATTATGGCATGAGCAGGACCATGGCATTCTTTCTACTTTTGGGGTGTTTTTTGTTTTTTAAGGGCAGATTGAAGTTACTTGATTTTTTGATAGTGATACTTTGAAGAGCAGCCTCTGAGGAAAGAGCAGTCACTAAGGCTGAGCTCAGGTCATTGAGGCAAATAAAGGCTTTTCATTGGAATAGTCTTTGTTCGGGCAGAGGCTCCTGGGCAAGGGAGTGGGAGTGTGTGTGGGCTAGATTAGGTTGAACACAAGGTCTCATTCTTTTGTGCACTTCTCAGTGTGCAATCAGGCTGGTAGAAGGCTTTCTAGAGCTGCCAGAAACATGTGGAAGGCACCCCTCAAACCTGGGACTGGTTGGCAGTGCTTTCCCTCTCTATGGGGCAAATAAAGCTATTGATAAAACTGAAGCGGTTCTTTCTCCACCTCCTTTTTGCCTTTTTTTTTTTGCCTTTTTTTTTTTTTTCTTCTTCCTTCTTTTTAACCCAGTGTCTCAGCTGCCAAGTTTCCCCACAGCATTAGGACAACCACTGATCCAGCAATGTGTACCGCATCACTAGAC